AGAGCACGCCTCAGCTGGTGGGAAGAGGAGGCCAAAGCCCGGCCCCGGAGCACAGCAGTGTGCAGGGCTGGGGCAGAGGGACATGTATCTGAGAGGGAAGCTGGAGAGTAGAGGGGAAAACAAACAGGGCGTGGGGCCTAGAAGTCAGACTCAGTTCACCTGACGGGCCGCAGCAACCACTTCCCCGAGTGACCCCGCAGCACTTGGATACAGTTTCTTCTACCCTTCTACTATTTCAGGCACTTTTGTGATTACAACTTACTTTTCTTTTTTCTTTAATTAAGTCTTAATTGGTAATATATACTCATTGATAAAACAGACCTATGATGGAACAATCAGAAACAATTCTTCCTAAATCTTCTCTGTGCCCCTACCATGCACATATACAACTACACACACACTCACATACACACAACCACATGCTTCATCCATATCCACACAAATACACATCACAGGTTCACACACCGTTTGTTTTTATTACAAACAAATGGGAAACCACACATTTTACTCAGAAAATTTCTTTTGCATAATGTATCATGGAGATATATATTTATATATCCTGTTCTCTTGTTGATTGTGATTTAATGATCAGTAGGTTGGCTACACCATTTTTTTTACTTTCAAATATTCTTGAGATCATACTCTATAGTATAATCCTTTTTTTCCACTTAGTTTGAAATCAGTTCTCCATGTCATTAAACACACTTGGTAAGCCTAGTTTCAATGACTACATCATATTCCAGAATATGAGTATTTCATAATTTACTTAACCATAACTTACTTTGGGCCAATTTGGGCTGTTAAAAATAATACCACAATGAATGTTATAGAGCATTAAGCTATGCCCACATTTCTGGTTATTTTCTTTAGGATATGAACACTTTTAGAGTCCATGCTAACCAAATTGCTTTTTCCAGAAAGACCAAAACAATCTGTGCTCCCACTAGTGATGATTGAGAGAGGCTCCCTACATCTTTTCTTAAATGCTTATCAATTTGTTAAGACAAAAGTGGCATTTTTTTCACTATAATTTGCATTTGGATTATTAGTGAGGTTAATTTGTTCAGGTGAACTGTCATTCTTAAGAATGATCTGATCATGGCACCCATTGCTCTCCTTTTCTAAGTCAGCCCTCCCTCCCTCACCACCAGCCCTGCCCCAGGTGTTAATTCCTGCCCGGGCCTCCAGGGGGTCCTCTCCCTCCTGAGGCAACATCCCTTGCCCTCTGCTACTAAGCCTCCCCCACTCCCTCCATGGCTGCTCAGCTGCTCTCTCTCGTGGGTTCAGTGTCTGTGGGTGCCCCTTGCTCTGCCTCCTCCAATCCATCTGCACTGGAGAACCAAACAGGAGCCCAGACTTTTCGAGCAGGCAGCCAACATCTTCCACTGGGCTGGGATCAGTGTTGACTGAGGCTGACCTTTCCTGCCCCACACCAGGCCCAAGTAAATGGGGGCCGCAGCCTGGGCCTAGCCTGCTGGGATTTTGCCCAACTCTGTCTCATCATTTCCTTTTCCACTTTCCTCATCTCCCCATTATTCCAACCCAGGCTTTAATTTTCACAAATGATACAATTTGGTGGTTTGGGGTTTCGGCAGGAGAATTCCTATGACCCTCAGAGCGCTGGGGCCTGTTTGCCCTTGTTAGAGAAGAGGGGCTCTGGACGCTCTGCAGACCCCGTCAGGCTGTGGTAATAAGCAGGGGCTGTTTGAGCTGCAAAGTGTAAGCCTGGTCCTTCTTAGTGAGACTCCACAGAAATCCCACTGGAGATTTTTCTGCCCCTGCCCTGTCTACTTTCCTTCATAATGATAAATGGCTGAAAGGAAAACTATCTAATCTCCAAACTGCTTGCTTTTTTCTACTCTTTCTTCAAGGAGAGAAGGAAGAATACAGTCACATAAAACAGAGTCCTTCATCGCCTGCTTCTCAGGAGACAGGTCTTTCCCTTTACATCCCAGGCCTGTTTCTGATCTCTGACGGGCTTGCATTGGACGCTCCTGCCTGGTGCTCTCTAATCAGCTGCGACACAACTGGCAGTTGCTTGGGCTGCCCATCGAAATTGAATTGATTGCCCGGCCCCTTTGCCATTTTGTTCTGCACACAATTGCTTAATAGCTGTCACCTTGGCTTTTGGTCCCAGCCGGCTGCAGGCTGACTGGTTCCCATTACTCAGGATGGCCAGTGCAAGTTCAGCACCTTTACAGGATGTCCCTGATTGATTCCGTCTGCCTTGGAGACCTGTGATACATTTGCATAGGAGGGAGGAAGGCGCTGGGGTACGGAATAGCAGTCTCTTGGCCGCAGGGAATGCCAGGTTTGGCTGTGAAACTCACAGTATTTGAATCATTACCAGGACTTCTTGTCAGGAGTCTGGCCTCTGCTGACATAGCTGCTAATGAATTTGTAAATTTTTTAAAAATACAAAACAACCTAGCCTGTCCTAACCTTTGCTGTCGCCACCTGCTGCCTGGATGGGGGTGGCAAACAGCATGGCTGCTTTTCCAGCCTGAGCTTACGCTGGCCTTTGAAATGACAGTTTCCTTCAATCCCCCACCCACTTTCCCTGCCCGCCAAGTGGGAGAACTGGGGCTTTGAGGGAGACATCTTTCAAGTGAAATCCTTTGCACTGGGAACTACTTCAATTAGACAGCAGGGGGAATGTTAACATGCCCTCCGGCCTTTTAAGTGGGTTTTAATTTTATGTTGTAAGATAAGACACTGCAAGCCTGGGGCTGCTACTCCTGCAGCAGGCTCCATTAGCAGGGCGAGCTGCGGCCTCTTGACCCCCTGAGGCACAGCCGAGGCTGGAAGTTGGTTTGGTTTTTTAACAATTTGTCAGGCGGACCCAGCTTCTCCTTTCCTTCTCCCCTTTGTTGCTCCAGGCTGTCCTGGAGCTGGAGGGCAGTTAGGTGGCTGTGCTGCTGCTGAGAGCGAAGCCCTGCTTCCCGCAGTGGCCTGGCCTGGGGCTGGAGAGCAAAGCTTGGGGGCAGCCTGCCTTGGGCCTCACAGCTGAACGTTCATCATATTTTTTCCCTTCCCGAGCAGGGCACAGCAGAAGCAGACACCTTTCACGTGGCAGGTTTCTGGCCCCATGATGTATGACCTGTTGGCGCTACTGAATGGTGCCCTTTGTTCCAGGGTGTCCCACGTGCCCCCTTTTTATTGACTTGTTGATTCAGAGGGGCAGGAAAGTTCCACAAATCCCACTGCAGGCCCTTCTCTAGCCATGACCAGGTGGAGAAGCCCAGCAACCTCATGCTTCCCAGAAAACTAGGAGGAAGCTGTGGCTGCTAAGGGCAAACTGTCCCTTAAGCAGCATTCTTTACCTCGGTCTCACGCTACCATAGGTCTGAAGAGAGCCTGGGAGCCTACATGTAGCTCACAGCCCTCTGCCTGGGGTCCTAGAGGGTGTGGAACACCCCATAATGCAGGCTTCACCCAGAAAGGAAAGAGCGGAGCAGGTGTGAGTGAGGAACAGCACCCCCTCCGCCGTCCTCTGAGCCAAGCTCAGTAAAGTTTTCCCCTGTGACCAACAAGTCTATGGAGCACAGCCAAGGCAGGAGGAGCTTGGCCTCCTGCAGGAGGAAGTCCCGCCAGAGGACAACCCCAGGGCCACAGGGAAGGACTCTGGGGAAATCCCATCCTAAGCCTGACGAGGACCAGGATTGACAAGGCACCTCTTACCCTTCCCTTCTCTTCTCCTCGCCTCCCAGACCGGCCTGCAGTGGAGATGGTGGGTGAGCAGCTTTGGAAAAGGAGCCATGAGGGGAGGGGCGGGAGGCAAAGGACGGGAAGCAGGGAGACCTTCCGACACCAGCTTCTCTTCTAGCCTGGTAGGGGGACCCTGGATTGTATTTCCTCTCCATTTTCCCACTCTCGCTTGTGGCTGAGCTTCAGGGATTGGTAGGAGAATGCAAGTGAAGGGCCCAGCCAGGCCTGGATCCCTCCTCTCTGGGGTGCAGGTGGCTGATGAGCTCACACATCTGACTGCTGAGGAAGCGCTGGGCTCTGACACAAACCTGCTCTTCTCTTCCTTTTCTGAAGTAGGTGCGCAAATCCCACCAAGAATTCCCTACTTCTGAGACCACCTCCCCCAAGTTGCCAGGTTGTGTGCTTGCTACTAAAAGGTGGCTGTTTCTTGCCTACGGCTTTCCCTGCCCATCTGAGGTCTGCGTGGGCCTTGGAATCCAGATCCAGCATCTGGAGATCAGCAGGAGCTCAAAGATACAACTGCTCCATTGGTCCTGAGTGACTTCACTCTAAGCTCAGAGGCTCCAGGGTACACTGCTCAGAGGCACTAAGGGCTCCATCTGGTTCTTGAGAAAAAAACGCAAGCAAAAGGGAGGAAGAGACCATTGCTGAGCCAAGAAATGACAAGCCAGTAGTAAAGAGCATCCACACACTTCACTGTTAAGCTTGGGGGCAGCCTGCCTTGGGCCTCACAGCTGAACGTTCATCATATTTTTTCCCTTCCCGAGCAGGGCACAGCAGAAGCAGACACCTTTCACGTGGCAGGTTTCTGGCCCCATGATGTATGACCTGTTGGCGCTACTGAATGGTGCCCTTTGTTCCAGGGTGTCCCACGTGCCCCCTTTTTATTGACTTGTTGATTCAGAGGGGCAGGAAAGTTCCACAAATCCCACTGCAGGCCCTTCTCTAGCCATGACCAGGTGGAGAAGCCCAGCAACCTCATGCTTCCCAGAAAACTAGGAGGAAGCTGTGGCTGCTAAGGGCAAACTGTCCCTTAAGCAGCATTCTTTACCTCGGTCTCACGCTACCATAGGTCTGAAGAGAGCCTGGGAGCCTACATGTAGCTCACAGCCCTCTGCCTGGGGTCCTAGAGGGTGTGGAACACCCCATAATGCAGGCTTCACCCAGAAAGGAAAGAGCGGAGCAGGTGTGAGTGAGGAACAGCACCCCCTCCGCCGTCCTCTGAGCCAAGCTCAGTAAAGTTTTCCCCTGTGACCAACAAGTCTATGGAGCACAGCCAAGGCAGGAGGAGCTTGGCCTCCTGCAGGAGGAAGTCCCGCCAGAGGACAACCCCAGGGCCACAGGGAAGGACTCTGGGGAAATCCCATCCTAAGCCTGACGAGGACCAGGATTGACAAGGCACCTCTTACCCTTCCCTTCTCTTCTCCTCGCCTCCCAGACCGGCCTGCAGTGGAGATGGTGGGTGAGCAGCTTTGGAAAAGGAGCCATGAGGGGAGGGGCGGGAGGCAAAGGACGGGAAGCAGGGAGACCTTCCGACACCAGCTTCTCTTCTAGCCTGGTAGGGGGACCCTGGATTGTATTTCCTCTCCATTTTCCCACTCTCGCTTGTGGCTGAGCTTCAGGGATTGGTAGGAGAATGCAAGTGAAGGGCCCAGCCAGGCCTGGATCCCTCCTCTCTGGGGTGCAGGTGGCTGATGAGCTCACACATCTGACTGCTGAGGAAGCGCTGGGCTCTGACACAAACCTGCTCTTCTCTTCCTTTTCTGAAGTAGGTGCGCAAATCCCACCAAGAATTCCCTACTTCTGAGACCACCTCCCCCAAGTTGCCAGGTTGTGTGCTTGCTACTAAAAGGTGGCTGTTTCTTGCCTACGGCTTTCCCTGCCCATCTGAGGTCTGCGTGGGCCTTGGAATCCAGATCCAGCATCTGGAGATCAGCAGGAGCTCAAAGATACAACTGCTCCATTGGTCCTGAGTGACTTCACTCTAAGCTCAGAGGCTCCAGGGTACACTGCTCAGAGGCACTAAGGGCTCCATCTGGTTCTTGAGAAAAAAACGCAAGCAAAAGGGAGGAAGAGACCATTGCTGAGCCAAGAAATGACAAGCCAGTAGTAAAGAGCATCCACACACTTCACTGTTGTAAAATGGCTTTATGTTCCAATATGTAAAGGGAAATGTCCATGCTATGTAACAAAACACTTGAAGTTGCATATCCCGTTAGCTAAGGTGTCTCCTAATAAAGTTTCATCTGTAATGTGTGTGTGTGTGTTTTCATATATATATTTATTTATGTTTTATCTAAACCATTCTTAGTTTTAACATCAAATGTGTAATAAAAATTTAAATAGATGCCTTTCCAAATACCCCCACCAATGTTCATTTATTAAGTTTATTCATTTGTAAAAAGCAAAGCTGAGTTTGACATGTGGCCTGCATTTGTGAGATATATATATATATATATTTATTTATTTATTCATATAATATATAAATAGCTGCTCAGCATGCAAAGAGTTTAGTGATTTCCCAATTTTGATTACAGAGTTCACACCAGCCACACGGATGGTCTGGTGGTGTTCAATGCTGAAGGGCTGGATGGAAGACTACAAGATCCACCTCACTGGAGAATTTTCCTTGCTCCTCTGAGCTCACTGGCTGAATTTACTGGAAGAAATGAATATTTTCTCAGTTCTTGTGTTTATTTCTGTTGGGCTTTCTTGCATCGGAGGCAGGGATTTTCAGGGAAAAGAACAGGCTCTGGAGATGCCTGGCAGCAGCTCGGATGTGCTCTCCTGGGACACTGCCCTGTGAAGTGTGTCTCCTAATGACTGGTTGTAGGATGCAGATGGTGCCCGAGAGGCAGAGTCCTCCTGCATGCCGCAGAGGGTGAGAGATTGTATGATAGGGACCGAGGGTGAAGGGCTTTGCACTTTATTAGGAAACCTGAATGGTAACAGAGATGCTACTGGTTGCATTTTTCCTTCCTCTCTGAAGAAAAAAAATGTTTTAGTACTCATCAGGTGGCCCTTAGCACATGACCCTCTCTGAAAGTCATCCCTCAGATCTCAGAGCTCCAGAGATCAATTTCCAGGCCACTAACTGAGCGGTCTGCTCTCCCCTCAGAGCAGCTTTGTGGTTTTGCTGAGTACACTTCTCAGGAGGCCTCATGGAATCTCCAGGAGTCAGTGGAGTGGGCCTCCTGCTCTCAAAACAAGCCCCCCAGCTCCCCTTGCAAACAGAAGGCCAGGGACTCTCCAATGTGTGCAAAGCCCTCCAGCCCAGCAACGAAAATCTTCCCCCAGCTTTCCCTGTGGGAGAGACCTCACTACCTGGCCCTGAGTAAAGCAAAAACCTCTAAATGACACACATGAACTCTCCACTCACATCCCATCCACGGGCATGTCAGGAGACAGAAGGTAACAGTGGACCCAGGTCCTGCAGCCGAAATCTGCAAAATCTTAGAACTCTTTTCCTTGTCATGGCCTCAATTGTATGTCAGAGGACAGATGCTCTCCCGATACGCACACATGCACCCACACATGCACACACACCACCCTTTGAAATACCATCCCATGTGTCTGGGTAGTGCAGGCCACCCACAGAGGTTAACACTGGATTAGGGTCCTGGGGCTGCCAAGGAGACATGGGAGTTATCCATCAGCCCAGTTCTCTGCAGTCCCCATTCCTGAATGATACTGTAAGGAAGCTTCCCGGGTCAAGGAGAAGCTCTGAGAGTAGAGAAACTCATTGGCAGCATTCAGGTGTGGGGAGGGCGGCTTCCTCTCACACACGGCGGGGAGGCCACGCTCCCTGGGGAATGAGGCGGTGGGCCCCCGCTCCCGGACCTGAGACTGTGAGAGCTGATTGTAGACACTGAAGTGGGTGTTTCCTGGAGGCTGGGAGCTCTGAGCAGAGATAGCAGGCAGCCGAGGCACCATCGTGGTGGCGGTGAAGTGCGTGGGGAAGGACTGGTAAGGCACAGTCTCCACGGTCTGGACGCTGTAGCTCGTGTATGGTGAGACTGATGTCCACATGTTACAGCCCAGTGGGGGCGGGGGCAAGTCGTCCACCCCGGACACCCCAGCAATCTCGGGCCCTGAACCTGAGTACATACAGGCTTCTCTTGGGGTCACCTCACTGCAGTAGGAGGGGCTCAGCATCTGTTGGTCATAGGGAGGGGGAGAACGGAAATAATGATCCTCTCCCACTGCAGAGGTAGCTTCCAGATAGGGGCGCTTGCAGGGTAAGTCCAGATGGCGGGCACTGTCTGCTGGAAGACAAAGAAACCTTCAGGAAGAGCCATTTCCACCAGCCCAGGGCCCAGAATAACCCTGCTGGATGCCAGGACAGCCTATCCTTGTCATGCAGGGCCCGCCCTTGCCCCATGTTTCCGTGGCCTGGCCAGAATCATTTTAATCAGGGACAGCTTTGATAAGGTGGTCAGGTTTGAGTGTGACCCTGCTCGAAGGCCACAGGGGACATCATTCACTGCACACTGAGCGATGTGCTTAGCCAGGCAGCATATAGCTTTGACCCTTTGCCACCCTGACTCTCAGGAATGGTAGAAAGCCTTGCTGTGCACTGGCATTCTTAGGTCAGGCACATCCTAGCCAAGCGAAGGAGAGGCAATTGCCAGGCCAGACCAGGTCCAGTGGCCACGTCTGTCAGAACCAGCCAGAAATTAAAGCCACAATGCTTCTGCCTCAATCCTCAGCTCCCAGGAAGGCCTTGGCAAGCCAAAGCTACTTGCAGGCATACTCCTGTTGCTTTTAGAAGAGGAAGTAAACTTTACATCTGTTCAAAGCTGGCCCATCAGATTGTTAGTATACAGATTCCAACATAACAGTGTTTACAAAATTAAGAAATGGAGTTGATAATATATAAAAGGTGACTTGTACTTTTAAGGCTAAGCTGATATTCTGTTTGGGCAAAGATGAAGTCAGCCGCCCCAAACCGTATGTTGTGTGTCTTCCAACATCCTGAACCGGGAGGGCTTGACCGTCTGGGTGGCACATCCTCCCTGGGACCCAGGGGCAACCCAGGCCCAACCACTTGGGCAGCAGCCCACTCAACAAATTTAAGAGCACTTGCGTAGTGGCTTCTCTTGCCCCCACTCCTTCTGTTTTCCCTAGGGATCCATCCTGGGAGCTGTCTGTGCATCCCCAGCAGGGTGGCCTGGGGGAGGAGTGGACCAAGTCTGAAGGCCTGCACTCACCTCTCCCCCCACTACTTCTAGAAGCTTCTTCCATGATAAGGAGGAACGTGCCTCTCTCCCACCCAGCTGTTGCTCATCCCTTACTCATCCCTCCTCTCCATCTTCTCTCCAGATTTCTCCTTCCTCTCAAAAGCACTAAACTCTTGGGCTTGAAAACTGGCCAGTCACTCTAGGCCAGGAGTGAGCAAGCTTCTTCTATAAAGGGCCAGACAGTAGACATTTTAGGCTTTGTGGGCCAGAAGAGTATCTGATACAACTACTCCATTCTGCTGCCGTCATATGAAAGCAGCCATAGGTTACTAATGTGTATGGCTGTGTTCCAATAAAACTTTATTTATGGATACTAAGATTTGAATTTCAGATACATTCACATATTATGAAATGGTCTTCTTTTTTCAACTATTTAAAAATGTAAAAACCATTTGGTATGGCTCACAGGCCAAATGAAAACAGGCATCACTTGGCCGAAGGGCCACCATTTGCCTGCTGTAGGTCCTTAGTTCCCACAGCACTGGGGCAGGGGATACCGGGAGCTCCGTCTGGCTGTCCCCAGGAGCTGGGCTGACAGAGCATTTTGGACTGTAAGAAAAACCCTCCAAAGCCATTCCCAAGAGAATTTCAGTGACTCTGCAAGGTATTCTAGTGTAATAACGCAGGGCATCTGTATTTTGCAGATGGAGCAATCCAGACCTGTAGCAGAGCCCGAAGGTTCTGGTTCTGGGTCACGCCTCCTCTTTGTCAGAGGTCACAGTGGTTCTGCCTGCCTTCCCGGCCTCCGCGATAGTTTGTTTCCACTCTCAAGAAGTCTCTGACGACCCTGCTATGGTGAGGTGGAGGGCCTGCACTCGTGACCCTAGGCCATCCCCATTTTTGCCTTGAGGCTGCTTTGATAAATGACAGCCCCAGTCCAAAATCCCTGGGCTGCAGCACCTCAGCCTCCTTCCATGCTTAGAGGGAACTCAGCGGAGGACGTGTTGTCACCCGCCCTGTGGAGGTCTTCAGAGCAGTGGCTGCCAAGCAATGCCTGGAACTGGGGATGGGTGCCAGTGTCCAGGGACACCACGGCCACAGGCTGCTTGGAAGGATTCTGAAGGCCGCGTGCAAAGCAAGGGCGAGAGCCAACACCCCGTCATGAACTGAGCCTGGCCACCGTCCCTAACCCACAGGCTGATGCTCCCAGGCCACACAGGTAACCAGGGGTATGTGGGTGTGTGTGTGGTGCAGGTGCGTATCCAGGCACACTCACATGTCATGGAGGCATTCGTGGGTGAGCTTACCCACCCCCCACCCCTGACTCATTAGGACTTCCAGACCAGGAGGGAGCTACCTCGTCTTTTCAGGCAGTGGTAGAAGAGGCTTGAGTCCCTCTGGGCTGGGAAGGTGCTGAGGGGAAGGTCCTGCGGCTCAGCCGCAGCAAACTGCATGTGAGCTCCGTTCTCATACTGGTAGTGCTGGAGCGCCTGGTGGGCGCCATGCAGGGGGCTGACGTCGGGCTTAGCTGAGAGCTGGGTGGAGACGAGCCTCTGCCTCATGATGCTTTTGGAGATCACAGGATATTCCTTGCTAGAGGGGTGGGGAAGACAGAGGGAGACAGGAAGAGTGTAGATACTTTGAGGGTCACCAAGACCACGTGCCTGAACTCCTTCTGCCTGCCCACCCCCAGGCCCGGGCAGCCCCACCTCTGCAGCCGAGCCACACGCAGGTCACTGTCGTCACTCCCCCGGAATCCCTTGGCAAAAGGGTTGTTCTCAATTTTCAGCTGTGTGATCTGTCAGGAGAGGACACACAGTGGAGTCACTGGGGTAGGGGACTGGACTGCCCTCTGGCCTTCCCCACCTGCCCCAGGCACAGACCCCACGGCTGGGCCTGGGGAGCTGCACACCCCAGCCCTAGGCCAGCCAGGAGTCTTGCCAGGTCCTCCTTGTGGCTCAGTGCTGGCACTTATCATTTCTACTTGCCGCAGGCCCTCTGATTCCGTCTCCTGCTCTGTGGCCCCACTGTGCTACCTGGCTTCAGTCCCTCCTCACTGTCCCCTGGATGCCTTTAACAGCTTCCAGTCCATGTCATCCCCATCCAGTGCGAATGCCACATCAGGTTCTAAGGTGACCATTCTAGATGCAAATCTGACTGTCACTCTTCTGCCTAAAATCTGCAGCAGCCTTTGGCCCTTCCCCTACGACACCCACCCACCTTGCCAGTCCCAGTGTGCATGAGGTGAAGGTGTCCTGAGAAGGGTAGTGCAGGCAGAGGCAGAGAGGCCGAGGGCAGTGGCAGTTTGAGATGGTCAGGCTGGGGAGGGCAAGTAGCAAGGTGGGAGGCAGGCCAGGGGACCCAGACCCACGTGGCCACAGCCTGTCTCAGTCTCCCTGCTCCCACTCAGCTGAAGTGCCCCAGGGCCCCTCTCCCCATGCCCTTGCCCTGTCTCCACAGGCCCAGAATCCAACCTTTGAATCCCACCAGGGAGAATATTATAGAATGAAAGGGCCTAACACTTGAGCGACAGGGCGAGCTCTGTGCTCCTAGGTTTTACAGTTGCCAACTTCATCCATTCCCCACAACAGACCATAATGACCTCACATTGGAGATTTAGGAGTCTGGTCTCCTTCCCTGATCGTCACTCAGCTTCCCACTGCTGTAAGGGACATTAAAGCTTTCTGAGATCCCTGGACTGGGCCTGCGTCTGCCTTGCTGCACACAGGGCTTCATTCCCTGCCTCTGTCGTGGCACAAAAATGCCCAGTGGTGTCAGTGGTGGGGCTGAGGGGCTGTGGCTGTACCTTGTGATTCTGGTAGGAGGTCACAGAAATGAAGGAAGTCTCTGGGAACACATGGGTGCAGAAGGCTGTGTTTTTGGAGCCAAAAGCATTGTTCTCATCAGCCTTCACAATATGCAGCCGCGGCTGGTACTTGTGCATGGAGTTGAGGATGATCTGGAAGAGAAGGTTCTCATGCTGAGCTCCAGGTCCCAGCCCTCTGCTCTTTGGCCTGGTTCATTCTCCTAAAAGCCCAGACTCCAAGACCTGACTACTGGGGCTGAGCCCAGAAAGGTCCTAAAGCTCCCAAGTGAAGAACCAGGCCCCTAGGCCCCAAACTCAGCTCCACGGTCCCCACTTAGGCCCAACACTATTGCCTGGTCCCAGGACTACCCTGATGCCACAGGTCATTCCACTGTGGTAATGGTGAACTTAACTGTTTGAAAGCCCCCAGCAAACTCAGCACAGTGTAGTAGGTGGAATTCTGGGTTGTAGGCAAAAGTCCAAGGTGCCTCTGACTCACTGTATGACCTCAAGTAAGTCACTGGACTTCTCTGAGTCTCTGTTTTCATATTTGTAAAATGGGATTGTGATACATAACTTAGATCCCCCAAGGGAGGGGGGTGTAAGTTCCCCTTGCTTCTCCCTCTCCTCTCCTGCCTCTTCTCCCCCTGCTACCGGCTCCCTGACACTGATGGGGACCTGCCTTTCCTAGACGCACCCACGGTGGGTGCTCAGCCCCCTATGCTCACTTCTGTCAGCAGCAAAAGCAGCCTGGCAGGGGGAGAAGGGAGCTGAGCAAAGTGTTTTCTCATCCAGACACTCAGTCACTCAACATTCACAGAGGCCTGCTGAGGGGCTGCCGGGGAGATGCACGTGCCTCCTGCCCTCAGCCCTGCCCCAGGCAGCTCTCAGCCTGGAGGGAAGCACCTTCGTGGGCTAGAGCTCCAGGTACCAAGGTAGGAGAGAAGCAAAGTTCCTAAAATAACATGGAGGAAGGCCAGAGGGTGCCTGGGGCTGGGAAGGCAAAGGCTCACAACAGGCGGAGCTCACACAGAGCGCCCAGGAGGCTCGGCCTGCGGCCTCTGTACTAACATACAGTAGTTGCTGCTCCAAACCTGCTTCATTCAGCTGCACCCCACGGTAGCAGCTGCATCATGTGCCATTAAAATGTATTTTTTATCGTTGACATTTGCCAGACGCTCTCCCCACTGGAGGCAAGACCAGGAATTTGGGGCATTTTATCAGCACTGCTGCTTTTGTTAACCCTTTGGCTCCCGCCTGGCAAGACTGGCCCCCAGGTCCTGTTCTCCTCTGAGCTCCCTTCTCTCCTTCCTCTCTGCCTGGGAGAGCCCCTTGCTGGGCTGCCTCTTCAGGCTCTGCACCGCCAGGTTCCCAGGCCCAGGCCTCAGGCTGAAGCCTAGGGCAAGGGTTAACCCCTGCATGACCAGAGCGCCAAGTGGAATGCCAGAGCTGGGCTCTTCCATGGTGGCCTGAGTGTGGGAGGGCCCAAGGTCCATCCTGGGGACAGGCACTGCCCTGAAAGCAGACCCAGCAGAGGAAGTGGGTGGGTTAAGGCCTCACCAGTTTGGGAAGCATCTAGCAGGAACTAGTTTTTCTGCCTTCTGCACTGACCACTCCTCCCTCAGCCCTTAGGGACAAACCTCTGGGCCCTCTTTGAACAAGTACAGAGGTCCCCAAACCCTAAGCCAGGTCCTATAGCTGGAAGAACCTGGGGCCTGCCAGACAAAAATCTCACAGTGGGACTGAAGGGTGCAAGAAGGCCAGGAAGGCCTCGTGGACTCATTTCTGGGAGCCTGGGGAGGGTCCCATGGCAGGGGAGCTGGGTTTGGGGAATCACTTCCCAGTCCCTGTAGGTCACCCCATCACCTGCACTATTCTGCAGCTGCAGGCGCCACAAAGGACCCGAGTCCCCAGAAGATCCCACTACTGAACCCCCGGGAGGGCCCGTGACGCTCCAGGGGACCCCACGCTCCTGCCTCTGCACCTTTGCACATACAGTTCCTCCTGCTGTCTTGGTCTTCCTTTCCCATTCTCTCTCCCCTTCTAGGCCTGTCATCTCGAGGTTCAGCTCTTCTAGGAAGCCTTCCCAGATGGCTAGGCCTCTTCTGAACTCCCGGTTCGGAAACTTCCCCCCATGCGCTGCTTGGCTACTGTGCTGCTTCCTGCTCTCCTCCTACTTCCTCTTGGCCCTCCAATGAAGCCACAAACTCCTCAAGAGGAAGGGCCTTATCTTTCATTCCTTTTGTACCTCCAGGAGCCTTTACCCCAAAACAGGTACTAGGAAGTACAGCGCAGGGTTACAGGAGCAGGCCCGGCTCATGAGCACAAACCCTCAGGCCCCTCTCCTCCTGTCTGTCTTTGCTCACTAGAGACGAGATAACCTCTAAGGCATTTTTCAGGTTGAAAGTACTGATTGAACATGTGCATAGGCTTTCTGTGAGGGCTTCCATGCTTCAGCCCCCCAGCACGCAGGGCCTAGTCACTGGCTCTCCCAGGGTTGCGGGACACATGGGGAGAACAGAGACAAGGGCCTGATGGGACCTGAAGCAGAGGCCATGGGCACCTGCATGGCCACACAGTCCTAAGGACACCCGAGGACAGATGGCAGCACCCACTGTGCTTGTCTGCCATCCGGGCATAGGCTGGGCATCACCAGCTCCCCTGCTCACAGTTACCCATCTCCAGGTCCAGTCAGTGACCAAGTCCTGTGGGCCCATCTGCAAAACAAAAGCCTCTCATGCCCACTTTGCAGCCTGTCTGTCCCCGGGTTTTGGGACAGCCTTCTCCCCATCTCCATCTACTTCCTCTCCACACCAAATGAGGCCACCTCCCTTCTTAGGACCTTCCAGTTCATCCAGGCAGACTGTACGTTGCCTGAGAGCAGAGCCCTTTGTATCTCCCCCTCTTGCCTCCCATGTGCCCCCACCAGTCCTGCCGCCAGTTAGAGTTCAGTAAATGTCTTATGCATATAATGCCACCTTAGATGGTTCCCTCTTGCCCCTTGGGAATAAAGGCCAGACTCCTCAGGCCATTAGGCAAGGTCTTCAATGACTGGGATGAGAGACTGCCAAACACACACACCTTCTGGGGAGGGAACCAGGCAGGGTGGCAGGGAAACCTGGGAAGAGAGAAACTGCCAGACCTGCAGGGACAGGTAGCAGCCTCCACAGGGTGTAGTCCCAGGCACAGAGAACTCAAGAGGACCCCAAAAGCCTCCATGGATCTCTCCTTACCAGCTGCAAGTCTTGAGCAAGCTCTTGCTGCCTAGTCACTGGAGTCTCCATCTGTAAAGTGAGGCCTTCGGCTAAGTGGCCCCAAACACCCCTCCTGACTCCAACAGTCTGGAACCTTGACAGGTCGTCTGGAAGAAGGTCCCATGCACTGAACCAATGCCTCCACCCCAGCAGCGTGGGAGAATGGGAAACCAGCTCAGGGACTCACACCTGGCTTTACTGGGAAGTTCCTCAGGCACCACCTTAAACTACTTTGCCACAGCCTCACATTCATATTTGTTGCAGAGGATATTGGGCCAAATGGGCCCGCTACGTCAACGAGCCCCACTATGTGACTGGTCCCATCATCAACACTGCTTTACAAAAATGGAATTCATTATGTTTTGGCGACGGTTCAGAAGCCTGTTCTATTTTAACAGCTGTGATAGCGCCAAACATCCATCTCCTCAAGACATCATCGCAGCGTGTCTGGCCAGTGAGCGCCAGAGTCATCTGTGTTAGAATCACAGAACATTAAGGGCATGGAGACACAGACCTCAGGGATCTCCTAGTCCAACCTCCTAGTCTACAGATGAGGAGCAGGAGGGCTATAGTGGGAACGTGACTTGCCCAAGGACACACAGCTGGTTGGAGACAGAATTCTGAGAAGATTCCAGATGGCTTTTGAGAGAGCACACACTGCTCTCATCAGTAAACCAAGTAATTAATGATAAGGTGGCAACGTTAGGGCCGAGAATTCACCAGGCCCTATTATCTATCACAGAACACTGTATCTGGATGCTAGCCACACAATGTGGTTATTGTCCATTTTATCACATATTAAAACCAGATTTTCCTCTGCATCATAATTTACTTTCTATCATCCCCCTTACCCTCTCCAGAACTGCAAGGAGGTTAGGACAGAGACTGGATCTGCAGCTTAGAAAAAAAGAAGAAAACTGAGACCCAGAGAGGTAAGTGATTGGCCCAAAGAATATCCAGACTAGAACTGAGTCAGGCAAGCCAGTAGCCCACCTCTGAAGCCTTGGCCACGTAGGCCCTTGGCCTCACTTGCAGGACAGCAGCCCAGGGGCCTGGGAACCATTCTGCCTTCTCTCACAGTCACAGGAATACAGTCAGTGTTTACCGAGCCCAGCCTATGTGCCATGCTCTGTGCAGAGTATTCCACACACATCGTATCATTAATCTTTTCAACGTCCTGCAAAGAAAACACTGTGATTAGCCCCATGTTAACAGATGAGGGCCTGAGGCTCAGGGAAGTGGAGGCATCTGCCCAGCCTCAGACAGATGGGAGGCAGAGCTAGAACTGGGACTCATTCTGAGCTGAGCTCGTACCTGTAGCGGGCCAGGCCTTGTCTGGAGTTGTGTGGAGCACCTGTATCTCCCAACACACCCAGCAAGAGTTTGGCACATTCTCAGGGCTTAGTGAACATGGAAGAAAATAGAGATCAATAGCTCTGGGTCCCCACTGGCAAGCTGACAGCTTAAGCTTTGGGGGGATGTCAGCTCCTGGTGTAGAAAGGGCCATCTCTGTCTAAATACCACCCCTTCCAGCGGGTTCACTCAGTCAGTCACTGCTTACCAGCACCCACTGGTTTGCCAGACACAGGGCTGTGCAGTAACACACAATGGTGATTAAAAACCTCTAGGTTTCCTATCTAGTGGGAAAGCCACACAGTAATCCAAAAATCAAGCAAAAATAAGCAGTGAGAAAATGTAAGGAAGAAAGATTGCATTTCTAATAGCAACAAACATGATGAGACTATTAACAGGAAATGGGTGAGACTTTACAAAGTAAAACTGAATACACTTTTGAAGGACAAAAAGGAGACTTCAGCAAAGAGAGACATTGCCATCAATCCTCCTAAGTAAATTTACAATTTAAAGCAATTCCAACAAAAATATGTCAGTTTCTCAAAATGACAAGCTGATTCTAAAGTTCATATGAAAAAACAGACAAGAGTAGCCAAGAAAACTCTGAAAAAGAAGGGAAATGAGGGGAACCAGCCCTGCCAGACACTAAAACTTATTATGAAGTCTCAACAGTTAAGGCACTGGCACACGAACAGACACACATTCAGACGGGGATTTAGTGCACAGAAATAAGGCATCCTGCGCCATGGAGGAAAGACAGCCAGTCAATTACTGGTGTTGGGACAACTGGATACCTCTCTAGAAAAAAAAAAAAAGTTGGATTCACACCTCATTAAATGCCAGAATAAATTCCAAAAGGATCAATGGTTTAAATGTAAAAGTAAATCCATAAAATATTAGAAGAAAACACAAGAAAATTCCCTTACAAGTAAGGAGTGGATTTCAATTACCAAAAATCTAGAATCTATAAAAGACCAACACATTCGATCAAAAACTTCTGTGTAGGAACTCTGGCAAAAATCAAAAGACAAAAGACAAATTGGAAAAACATATGAGCAACTCATATCACAGATAGGAGCTAAAGCTTCCTAGTTGATAAAAGCTTCTGGAATTAATAAGTGATCAAAAATCTAAGAGGAAAATGAGCAAAGGGTAAGAACCGCAGTTCACAGAAGAGGAAATATATTTTAAAATATGCTTAACCTTACTCATAATAAAAGACATAAAAATTGAAACTAAGACTGATACATGTTTTTTCCTCATCCTCCCATCCCCCTCCCCTATGGCTAACACCAATCTTTCCCTGTGTTTATGAGTCTATTTCTGTTTTATTTGTTTGTTCATTTTGCTTTTTAGATTCCTTGTATAAGTAAACTCATACAGTTTTTATCTTTCTCTGATGTATTTCCCTTAGCACAATACCCTCTAGGTCCACCCATGTCATCAGAAATGGCAATATCTCATTCTTTTTATGGCTGAGTAATATTCCACTGCATATTTCACCCACAGATCGGCAAAAATCCAAAACTTCGCCCTTCCCAGTTGGTGAGGTTCCAGTGATGGTGGGAATATACACCAGTACAACTCCAAAACTATAAGATACAAATCCCAATACCCTTCAAATAAGCAATTTATCCCTCAGATGTGCTTGGCACAAGTATAAAATGATATATGCGTGAGTTTAATCAAAAGAGTTAAAACAGGAAAACATCTGATTCCTTCAATAAGGACTAGCTACATAATTTACGTACCCCTTATGGGAAGAAATTCTATGCAGCTATGAAAAAGGGAATGAGGAAGCTCCAAATGAATGCCATGGACTCCATGTCATACTAAGTTTACAAAGCCAGGTGTGAAAAATGTTTATAGTATGCTATCTTTTGTGTGTCAAAGAAGGGATTTGAGGCTCTGTATTCTTTTGTATATGTCCAAAGACTCACCAAAAAGAAATCAGTACTGGTGGTTACCTGTGATGGGGGTTGGGAAAAACTGAGTAGATGGGGAACCAGTGGAGGGAGATGTTTTTAATTTATTCATTGATTTATTCTTAAACCATGTAAAGACATTGTAGATGTTTGGGTTGATTGATTCTTAAACCATATGGATGTATTTCTTGTTCAAAAACAAATTAGATAAGTATGAATTATAACTGTGGTAAGTACTGGGACAGAAAGGTGCATGGCGCTCTGAGAGCACATAATGGGGACCTTGAACTGTCACCCTGAAGAAGTGGCATTTAAGCTTGGATCCCACAGCTCAGGAGAAACTAAAGGGGTGAAGAGGCACATGGCCAGAAGAGGAAGTAGCACAGAGAGGGCCATGCACGCGCTTTGCAGTCAAGGTACTGCCGCCCACAGCCCCATCCTGGGGCTGACTCAGCCTCTGGAGCGGTTAGACTCACTGTGTCAGAAATCATGAGCTGGCCTCCTCCTCTGCAATCCGGAAGTCCTGGGCCATAAGAGGTGGTGAAGGCCATCCCCCTTCTCACGCAGACACACTCACACAGACACGCCCCCCTGCAGCCATTATCCCCCTGCCTCCAGATCAGGAGAAAAGACCCACGTGCTGGCAAGCATGGCAGGATTTAGGCCCCACCCCAGTGAGACCCCTCCTCAACATTCTGATGCAACCTCTCTCTCCATCCATGGTCAAATGCCACAGGACCCTGCTGGGGTGGGAGGGGAGCAGCAAGTAGGAGGGGATGACGGGCAGGCAGCCTCTGTAGCCAGGAGAACAGAAGTAGAGCTTAACTGGGGCCATGGCGTGGTAGCCAAGTCCTGCCCCGCCACCCCCATGCTCCCTGCCCCTGCAGCCTGCCCATTCTCTGGCCTTGAGCTTCTTCCCAGAAGCCAGTGGTCATACCATGAACCTACCCCTCAAGAACAGAGGGCTTTCCTGGACTCACAGCAAAATCCCACAAGGAGTTTTCTAGCCAGACTCCAGTCCTGTCTTTTGGGAACATGTGGCCACATTGTCTGAGGGGTTCCTGTTCCAAGGCCCCACCTGCCGTGTAGGACAGGCTGCTGACTCAAGCCTTCACCTGGATCCTGAACCTTTCTGGGAGAAGGCTGCTGAAGTCCCAGAGGTACTGTGAGACCCAAGGGGAAAGTCCAAAGTCCATTTGGCCAAGAAAGTACCTTGAGGTCTGGAAGCTTTTAGGGAAAATTCAAAGTGTGGAGGTGAGTTGTGCAGAAGGAAGGGCTTGTTTGGGGCAAGTGCACAGCATAAGGTGGCTCCTTCCCAGCCTCCTGGACCGAGAAGCCAAGAAAGGTGACCGGGAGGGCTCACAGGTCCCATCGATGCAGGCCAAGGAGCAGAAAGCCGAGGTCCACATGGGCTGCTTTGCCCTGGGGTGTCTAGCAGTTAGCTCACCTTGCCTACATGCTCAAGGCTGCTTCCTCTCCAGCAACGCTCCAAATAGCTGAATCTAAGACAGCTCAAGCCCTAGGTTTAGAAAGATAGGAGAAGCCAAAAGAGCACTGGACAAAGAGCCCGAAGGCATGGGTCCAAAGCTCCTTTCTCCCCAGCTCCTGAGACAATCACCTCACTTCCCTGGGCCCTCCGCTCCACAGTGGTTGTCATAACCAATGAACTGCATGCACTGAGTAAATGTGGGGATGGGGGAAAGGAAGATGCTCAGCATCCCAACCCTCCAGGAAGAAAGCTGAGTTAACATGGGGAATATCCCTATTGCCGAGGGCAAGCATGGCAAGCATAGCCAGGGCCACCCCAACATCATGAGCCCATCAAGCAGCCCCACTGGCCCAGACTCAAGACTACTATGCAGGGTCACTGCAAACTCCTATGGGCCCCAGCAGAACCACCAAAGAGGCAAGTCAGGCTGGGACTTGCTGAGCTATGAAACTAGGTCTCTCCCCCATTTCCTAAAGAGCCCAGATCTTCAGCCACTTGACTCCCTCCCCTGCCACTTTCTGCAGGGTCTCCAGGAGGTGGACGAGTCCTCTGAGGCACCCCTGCAGCTGGGAACATGACAGCAAGCTGTGCATCCAAAATTCTTGCCAGAGGTCTGATCCCTGGCCCCTCTGACTGCTACTCAAAGACCCAGCTTCTGCCAAGTTCTGTGCTCACCCCAGTGGTCTGCCCCCTGGGGTCTGCATGCGGGGGCATTTGTGGACAGACACGTGCCTGCCAGCTAGGATCCCCACCTGCTGCCCCAGAGGCCCTTGCTAGCCTCTGCAGGTCGGTGCCACGGCCTGGTCAAGCAGAGCAGGCCAGGTACGAGCCAACTGGGAGCAGGGCCCTGGCCAGGATAGAGCTCAGGAAGACCTTGGAGTCCCCTCTGCCCCTCAGCTAAAGAAAGGCCCTGTACTCTGGGAGGCGGGGACTTGGCTGACTCTTCCCACTGGGTTGGTGGCTTGTCTCTCCCCAGCAAGAGGCTAGCACTGCGTGAGAAGTGCCACTGTGCACCCCTGCATCTCTGGCACCCATGCAACAGCATCTGCCTGCCCCACATGGGAGGCCCTGTGCTGCTTTCCGGTTACATGCCAACCCATCAGAAAGGAAGCATTGCTGGCATTTTCCATGAGGAACTATGATCCACAGAATTCTGATTTGCATACTGCCCCCAGAAATAGAATTGAGGTGTAGAAGATGCCACAGCTGCACCGCACCCCAGCTCCCACCTCCCGCCATCCACGCACTGCATTACATCTGTAGCCCGGGCACCTGCCCCGCGTAGCCTCTCCTGCACCCACGCTCTGCCCCAGCCCACCCTACACCTTCCCTGCTGGATAATACCAGGTCCCCAGGCTTCTGTTTGCCACACACTTGAGCTAAAAATTTCCACATAGAAAACGTATTGTGGGCCTGCCAGGGCTACATGAGGAAGGAATGAGCTTCAGCAGCCTGGGTGGGGCGTGAGCAGCAGCATCCATAGAGCTTCAGAATCTCTCCTGCGAGAGCCAGGACCCAGGCAGAACCCACCCGAGCTGACATGGGAGCCAGAGCCAGTCCCTCCCTCCCAGAGGCAGGCGCTCCAGGCTGGCAGCGGCACTGCCATTGCCAAAGAGAGGCTTCGGACCTGTCTGTGACTCTCCTAAGGAAAGTTTGTCTTATGCTCCAGTGAGTCCAGCTCCGGGGAGATCTGACCCACCATCAAGGTCACTGTCAGTTTCCAATTTTTTAGAGCCTCCTATGTGCAAGGTGCTTCATGCGTATTGTCTTATTTAATTCTCACAACCATGAAAGGTACATATGGTCATCTCCATTTTCTAGACAATGATACCAAGGCTAAAAAAGGCTAAGAAGCTTGCTCCAAGTTACTCAGTTAGTGCTAGGGGATGGTTGGTTGTACAGCCGTGGGACTAAGCTGGCCCTTCCATAAACTGGCCTGGCAAATGCCAAAGCCTGGAGCTGGATCCCAGGAGCAGATTCTCCAGATTCCAACTCCCACCATCCCACCCCCAGTGCTGTCTCAGGACACACCCTCAAAGCCATGCAGTCCCCAGTCTTACATGGCCAAAGGGGTCCAGGTGGTTGTTTGTCAGCTTGAGCTTCTGGAAGGAGACCAGCTGCCGCATCCAGTGGGTGCCAGTGGCAGGAGAATCCGGGTGGACGTAGAGCCTTCCTGGCATGGCAGGCTCAGCCTTCCCTGCCACCATCCTGCCAACAGAGCAGATTGAGCCACAGCACCTGGTTGCCCTGGGGGCTGGGGAAGCTGAGATCCTCTGTGCCCTCAGAGGAAACAATTGCCCCTAGTCCTATCACATTCTCAACTAGGACTTTGCAGAGAGGAGTGAGGAGCAGAGGAGAGAGTGCTGAGGAGGGGGTAGCAATTCTGAATCTCTTTTATTTTACTTCAGTGGAACCGCAAATTGTGATTATGTACTTGAAGGAATGGGGCTAGTCACAAATATATTGTGGGGAGAGATGGGTACCTCTGTGTATGTATCATATTAACAATTTTATTTACTTCTTTTTTATATTGAAGTATACAATAAAATGCACACATTCTAGTGTGCAGCTTGATGAATTTTGATATGATTATACGCATGTGAATAAATATTTTTGGATCAGTGATATATTTACAATTTTAAATTGTCATGAATTATATTATTTGAAGGGAGCTTCTCAGAGGATGCAGACAACTTTCAAGTTGCTTGCCCCCCAAAGAAATTAAATAATACCAGTCCCCTCAGCTGGGGCCTGCTTTGAGTGCTAATCCAGCCCAGAGAAAGAAGAAATGGAAGCATGGCCTTTGGCCCTGGCCACCGAATCAGCCTCCTCAGCCCCATCTCCACTGGCCCTACTACCCCCCCCCCCACCTCAGAGCCCACGTCCTGGCCTGCTCCCAACTGATTCAATCCCTCTCTCTCCTTGACTGCTGTCCTGGGCTCTGGGGCAGACAGGGTTCTGAGGAGGTGGCTCAGGAAAAGTAGCCCAACATTTATTTACTGAGCCCCAGCCTGCCCTTCAACCCACCTGTTTCCTCCAGCCTCCTGTCAAAGGGTCCATCCCCCACTGCCGGGCAGCCCACTCACTCTGGGCAGTGGACACACAGCTTAAGACAGAGGGCTCTGTGGCAGCCAGAGGAAGTGAACGGAGAAACATGGCAGAGACACCTCGGACCAGGCAACTGGACCCTAACACTTAGATAGGGAAGCCCCCCAGGAACACAGCTCCCACCCTCCCCATGAGGCACTGCTGGAGCCTGAATCTGCCCAGCGTTGCTGGCTGTGTGTCAGCCCGCAGCACAGGCACCAGTGCTGTTTGTCCATGGCTGTGGGGAAGAGCACAGACCCTTGAAACTCAGCAAACACCCAAACACTGCAGCTCATTTCAGCCCCAACCGCAGTCCCACCTGGAGCAGGTGTGCAGACAATGCAGGCCAGTTCCAAGGCTGCAGACAGGACTTCCTGGTGAGTCCTGGGAAGACCATCAGGTGGACACAAGCATGGTGCATGGGAAGAGGGGTTGAGGGAAGGCAGGTGGTGTGCGGGTCCCAGGGTCTTACCATTTGTTGTCACAGAACTTGTAGCGGTGGTCATCCGCAGGGACAATGTCTATCAGCAGGATGTACTTGGTCTTGGGGTTCATGCCTGTGACTTTCACCTTGTAGCTGGGGAACATCCTCCTGGGGGAAGCCAAGGGGTGAGGTGGAGGCGTGGATGGAGTCCCAGGAGAGATGGCATACAGTGGGTGGTGGGGGTGCAGGCAGAAGGAAGGCCTTAAGAGGCACTGTCGCTTTAGCAGGAGGTCTCAGCACCGGTCAGAGCTGTGTGACCTTGTGTCAGTCACCTCTCTGGCCTAGGCCTCCCCCTACACAAATGGAGGGCTGCACTAGCCTTTCTCTTTCAGCTCCTGAAGCTGTTAGTCTGTGTGCTTAGAATGGCAGTGCATGGTTTCCCAAATTCAATTCCACTTCCCCCACAGTCCCCTGAGAGTTTGGCCTAGTGGCTCCGAGTAGCATAGAGACCCTGGTCAGGAACATGAGCGAGGACTTTGACCCCAACCTGGGTGCTTTAATTTCCCTCTTGTCCTTCACCAGTCCATACACAACTAAAGTTCTGGGTTGCCATTATAGGGGACCAGAGCAGAAGACCTGGAAGTCCCTGTCAGCTGCTTCCATAACCAGTGAGATGTCTCCTCTGGGTCGTGTGACTGTGGAGACTCTCAGGCCTCAGACCTACTTGGAGGAAAGGCCTTTGGATTCCTGTGGTGAGCTGAGCAGGGGTGTTTAATCCCTGTGAAGGCCTCACCGGACCTCTGTACACTAACTGGGTATCAGGGGAAGCGTGTCCAGGAGCCTCATGGAGAATAGCATGGATTCTAGAACCAACCTGCTGTGGTTGACAGCCCGGCCCACCCCTGACAAACTTGCTGGGATCTCTCTGTGCCTTGGTTTCCTTATCTCTAGCATGGAGATGTGACTCCCTGTCTCATAGGTTGCCGTGTGGATTAAATGAGTCCATTTAGGACTATTACTACTGACCCTGCTGTAATTCCTCCATCCCAAACCACTGGTTGTGACCTGCATGTATGACCATGGATTCACCAGAAGACAAAGTTTTCCGGTTGCTGCAGCTCATGCTGAGAATATCCAGCACCCTGAGGCTCAGAGCACATTCCAGAGGAGGGCTTCCCCAGGCCCTGCAGCACGCATGCAGCACACACACCAGGGCAGCAGCAGGCATGCACCTGCAGGGGCACAGTTCCCCAGCTGGTCACCAGGCCCTGAACGGGACTTCTGGGGGCTGGGGCTGGACAGCACTTCCTCACCGTCCTCCACAGACCCTCCCACCCCATCCTGGCTGGTCTCCTGCAAAGGTGTTCCCCGAAAGAGAGAGGCAGAATCCATACCTAACTGAAGCCTCTAAGGGTATTGGGAACTGAATCCCCTGAGCTGGGACAGGGCCCAGCCAATCCACTTTAGGAAAGCTGTCCAGTGTTCCTCTGCCTCTCACCAAGCTGAGAGGACCCCCAAGAGAAACTATCCTAGATGCCTCAAACAAATTATTGGAGTCCCCCATTTTATCATCAAGGTTACCAGCTTACCTGGACAGGATAGGGCTTCCAGAAGGGATGGAAGCCACCAGACCCTACAGCAAGCCCGGGACAGGACCCTGAGGTGGAGGGTTCAACTCCACCCCCAGCCCAGCCCCAGTCGGTGGGCCCATGACAGCACTGCAGTGGCCGGGCGGTGGGGGGTGGGGGTGGGAGGTGTGTGGCCTAGAGTCTGTGGAAGTGTGTGTGGCAGAGAACATGTGCCTGAGCACACGGTGGAGTGCACATGCGTGCATGCCTTGCGGGAGGAGGGAAGTTCTAGCTGCAAGTCTAGGGACTTATAAACCGTGTGGAAGAATTTGTCTCAGATGTCAACCGAAAGCATTTTCAAATGTCCACCCCACCCCCTCTCCAAGAGTGAGGGCAGTGAGAGGGCTCAGGAACCCAGTCCTGCCTGCTGCTTCCCAGCCCCCTGCCCCACCTGGGGGCACAGCTGGAGCCCTCACCACCGTCTCCTGGCCCAGCCTCTTCCCTGGTGGGCCTAAAGCTGAAGAGGGGGACAGCAGCAGCTGCCTCACAAGCCCCCTCTCAAGGGAAGGCCTAGAAGCCTGTCCCTCCAGGCCACCATTTTGTAACTGCTCCATAAACCTCCACAAAATGGGGCTGCCCTGGCTGTGCTCAGCCTGACCGGGCACTGGTGCCCTGCACTTAGCCTGCTTCTCCTGTAATCACTCCAGGTGGCAAAGGCAGAAGGCACACACGGCTTTTCCCCAGGCCAGTGTCCACAAAGGGGGCTGGGAGAAAACGGCTGGCTGCCACTTCACCAGTCTTCAAAACCCAGGCCTGCGGTAAAGGGCCCTGCCGTTCCCCTTCTCAGCAGGCCAGGCTGACACTGACTAAGTGCCCTGTAGGCCTGTAAGAAGCCTATGCTCAGCACCCCAAGGCAGGGAGCTGGTGTCCTATGACTGGGTCTCTCCTAGAAGCTGACTGACACCGGATTTCTGACTGATAACAGCCTAAGGGAGGTTTTGTGGACTTGGGGCCCAGAAGATACCTCCTGGCCTCTGTCTCCCCCGCCCACCAACTCCCCTCTTCCCAGTGCCCTAGGGTCTTAGCAGCAGAAGCAGGAAGGGAGTGCAGGACGCCTAGTCTGAACGCGGAGGTCGGAAGCCCGCAGCTCCAGGCTGGAGCTCAGTGACCTCCGATTGCCTTCATGGAAACATATACCTGGGTCTCTGTCAGGGTCCAGTTGGGAGACTGCTTCCGGCTACAGAGAACACACCCCACGGGGACCTGCTCCACCATCATTTCCCCACCGAGGGGTCTCCACGGGGGCCACGGGGCAAGGGGGCAAGGCGGAGTTCGACTGACGTCGGAGCGTGCGGTCCTCCCACCCCGTCCAGCCGAGAGTACCTGCCCTTGGCCCGGAGGGGCCTAACGCGGGAGCGCGGGGGCCGGCGCGGGGGGCTCTCCCCAGGTAGCCGGGCTGGGCTTGGGGCTGTGCCTTCCTCTGGGCTCACCCTGCGCGGTCAAGCCCCCCCGACTGACACAGAGACCCGACGGGGTGAGACGTCAATTGCTCCTGTGATTTAGGGCGCAGAACGTACCTGGAAACCAACACCTAGGGGGGAAGCGAACGTCCCGGAGGGCCGGGAGAGGGCCAAGAAGGGAGCGGATGACGCTGGGCCGCCGGATGCCCCTCAGCGCCGCCACCAGCGCCGGCCGGGCCGGAGTCCGGGTCTCGCGTCGCGGCCTCCCCCCGGCCGCCCCTCCGCCCGGCGCCCGCGGCCTCCTCCCCGCTCCCCGCACTCGCGGAAGCGGCCCCGCCGCGGGAATAAACAAGCCGCCTGCCCCGCCGGCCCTCGAGGAGATGAAAGCCCGGCGCTCTCCTCTGATCATGCCCCAGGCTCTGGAGGGCTGCGGGGCTGGAGCCTTTATCTACTTACTCGGAAATGGCTTTGGAATGAGCTGCTAGGATAAGCGTCCTTGGACGTCTCTCCGTGTGGGAGGCTTGCGGGGCAAGGGTCTCGGGGCATTTTGATTTTGGCAACAACTCGCTGCTGAGAGCGGACTCGCAAGCTACAGCTGGGCTGGGAGGGCCGCGGGGCTCCCGGCTCCCGGGCCAGAGCCGTTGCCAAATTCAAGGCGCTGACCTACTCGCCCCGCACCGAGCCCTCACGCGGCCCAGGGAATAGCAGGCCCGGGGCAGCCGCCAGATTCTGCGCCCCGGGCCGGGCCCCCTACCACCGCAGCCCGACTCAGTCGGGGGTCCCAGGAATCCCAGGAGCAGCCATATGTGCCTTCCCTTAAATGCGGGCGCAAAACCAAATCGAAGAGGTAACAAATCTGGAGAGAGGTTTCGAGGAGGGGAGTGGAGGTGACTGGGAGGCACAAAAGAGGAATTCTGGGGGCCAAAAATGTTCTTTTTCTTTTTCTGGGTAGTGGCTACACGGGTGTGTTCGTTCTGTGACAATCTATAGAGCTGTACAATTAAGATTTGTTCATTTTTTGGCAGAAATGTTCCACTTCAGTAAAATGGACATTAAAATTACACACACACATACACACACACGAAATGTTCCACTTCAGTAAAATGGACATTAAAATTACACACACACACACACACACACACACACACACACAGGCTGTGGAGCCCAGATCATGGCAGGCTGCAGGCAAAGGGTAGGGTCCACAGAAAACCCCACCCATCTTTCTATTCCTCAGTGTCTGGGGGGTCTTAGGAAGAATTCCAGGTATGTTGGGAGGGGGCCAGGTGGCAGCTGACAAGGCAGAGTGTGGCAGCATGGAAGGGGGGGCAGCCGCTCCTGCCGCCTGTACTGAGACCACTCCTTTTGTAGCCAAATGATTTCTAAGAGCAATGACAAAGCTACATGATTTATTTCCACTTTTCTCACACACATGCACGTGCGCACACACTCAGACTTTTCTAATTCACTCAAAGCATTTTTTAAGAAATATTTTCCCTGAGAAAGGGGGCAGGAATGAGGGTGTGGAATGGATGCTGTTTGGAAGGTCAGTTGTTTCTCTTAGATTTTTTTTAAAGACACTTCCTTCTGATAGACTTTTGCTTTCAGAAAATACTTTAGAAAGAGATCAAAGTGCTCTCTCCCCAACTTACTTTCCCAGTGTCTTCAATCCTTACTTCTCTTATCACCCACGCCACTGGGCTCTGACGCTCTGTATACAGAATGAGGGCAATTGGCTTTGAAGCCCTGGATTAAGCTGGGCCAAATCCTTGCCTCAGAATAACAAACAATACAGGTTCAACAGGAGTTCTCATCGGTAGTTCATTTTTCAAGCGCAAATTCACTGTCACTAACACAAGCAACATTGAACTCAACAGGCTATGAAGGCTGATAGTGGAGATTTATCTGGTGGCAAAGCCATGACCTAGGAGTAAAGCAGTCAGACGGTTAGGAAATTTTCATTTGGGGGAGGTTTATATTTAAATTTTTCTGGAGCTCAATTTTATCTGTGTTTGGGAGAAAATGCAGTTTCTCACATGTATCAAGCTTGGCAGGGCTGTTGAGGCAGAGAGAAGGGTCTGCTTTCTGCAATTAACAGCATAAGGCCTCTGGAGGCAGGGCCCTGAGAGATACAGAGACTGGCTGGGGAGGACTTGGCCTCATTTACACCTGACATCAGTGGTTCCTGAGCATTCAAAAATTGGTCTCCCACTGCGGTTGGCATTTTATTCACCAGATGAAATTGTTTGAGAATTCAAAGTCACTATCCAATGAGGGGGGCTATTCCCTGCTTTGGCCGTCAGACCTTCGGGCACTTAGTGCAAGAAACTTAGGACCTTAGGCTTGAGAACATTCTGGCTTCCTTCTCCAGGGCCATCCCCTCCCTCAGTCAGACAGTAATTCTCATGCCCCTAAACAGCAAGGGTCTCTGGGGCAAATCAACAGCCCCACATTGTACGCTGGTAAATAAGCATCAAGGGAATTTCTCAAAGTTGGGGTTTTGTTCTGGGGGTGCCTTGGCCTGGCAGCTGCCTAACCCTACTTCTGCCTAAAAGAACCAAGTGCCTTGCCTTCTCTGGGGTTGGGTTTATGTTCTCTCAGTTCTCCTCCAGCTCTAGCCATTGGAGAATCTATGATTCAAGGTTCAGGAGAAGGGTCCAGGCCATCTGCTGGGAAATGGAAGTGTCCCAGGAAGGGTGCCAGTAAAGACACAAAGAAGAGAAAAGAGAAAGATGCTGGACAGGATGCTGACGAACCACAGCCCAAGCAAAGGGAGCTGCCTCCTAAGGCTGCCCCTGGGCAGGAGAGGGGTGGGGGGCCCAGGATCAGAGCAGTGAATGTGGTCTTTGAGGCCAGTGGCAGCTGTGCAGGAGGAAAGGGGGTCTGTGAAAGCCATACGGGAGAGGGGATGAGTCCAGTGACTTTCTCAAGGACTAGACCTCGTGCAAGGATAACTTTCTGTCAGAGAAATTAAAGACTGTGATGAATCGATATTTGGCCAACATCATCACAGCCATTTTAAATTGTTATCATCATTCCAAGGCCCACCGCTAAGCCTTCACTAGGATCAGGCACAAATATCTGCCTGAAGCAGGACACTTCTAGAAGTGTGTGCAGGTGCGTGTGTGTGCGCGCGCTTGCTGGGGGGAGGTAGGAGGAGGACCTACATAGATGCAGAAAAACCCACTGAGAAGAATTACAGATGCCTTTTGTTTAAAATGGCAAAGGCCAGGCATGCCCCCAAGAATATGCTGGCCATTTATTTTCAAGAGACAAGGCTATTTCTGCTGCCTAAAAATGGAAATTCTGGATCTTTCTCTTTCTTCTTTCCTTCCCTCCACCCCAGCAGTCATGAGAAATAAATCCTCCCTCTTCATACATGTAATCCACTCAACAATTTACCAAGCACTGCTCACAAGTTCCCGGGTTTGGGTCTCATAGTAACTGAAAAAGGAAGGGTGGCAGGTAGGTCTACCATCACCATCTCTATTTTGTCCGACACCACTGGGCCACAGGAAGTTCAGTGACTTGCCCAAGTACACTCAGAAAGAGCCAGGGCTTGTAACACCTACCCCGTTCCTCAGTGACCACTCCTGTGCCATCCTCTGTCAGGCCCCCCAATGCATCCTTCTTCACCACTCCAACATGCAGCAAACTCAGGCCCTGATATCTCCCTGTGCCCTCCCCAGTGGCCCTAAGTGGCCATTCCACCTCCCTGACTTGTCATGAGGATAACCAGTTGCACACACACCCATGCACAACAAAACAAAGGAGACTTTGCGAGGCCTGCCAGGGAGGAGACAGAAGGACTACAGCAACCCTGCACTACGCCCAGCAACATCCCCCCAACCCTGCCTTTTGGTTCTTTTGAGTAGCCTAGCATTCCCTAAGCAGTTAAGTGGAGTTCTTTATAAAGTAGAAGAAAAATGCTGAAAGGATACCAGACATTTCTAATTATGATTACTACTATTATTAGCTAACATTTATTGTGTGCTTACATGTGCCCGAAGCTGTGCTAAGTGCTTTATGCACAACTTTATGAAAAAGGACCTATTATCTTAGGTGGAGATGAGGAGAAAGTGGAGAGAGACCCTGAAGTCTGGCCTGAGGGATGCGCGGATGGAAGTAGCTGGGCTGGAACTGGGAGCCTGGCGATCTGACTCCCATCCCTGGCCCTTGATACTTCAATACTTTATTCCTCAGAAAAATCAATTAGGGGCTCCCAGCCAAGCAAAGGGACATTTTCCCACCTAACCTGTCCCCTTACCACCACCAACATTTACCAACTGTGAGTAGGTGGGGGCGGAGGCCTGGGGAAGCAGGTTCCTGAACCAGATGCTCCCAGCTTCCTGTCTGCAGCGATCTCCCTCCGCCGGACAACCGCTCTCCTTGCCAGGCCTGCTCACCCAGCCGCGCAGCCCCGGCGAAGCTCCTGGTCCTGCCTGGCTCTGCGCCTTCCTCTCCACACACCAACCCCCCGCCCCCACGGCCCCCGGTTCTCTCCCACAGACACCAGCGCATTTTAAAGATGTTTCCACTTTATAAATCATTCTCTTTGGCAGAGCCAGTCGAGAGCTGCTCCCCGACACACACACACAGGGCCCAGAGGTGCCTTCCCCTTGGCCGAAGAGGAGGCTGGCAACAGAGGAGCAGCACCGTGGACTGAGAGGTTTGGGGTTCGCGGTAACCCGGAAAAGTTAGGGAAATGGGAAAATATGGTCCTGTCCCCTTCCTCCACATGTTGAAGGGCATCTCCGGGTCCCCAATCAGTGCAATCTTGAGAAACTATGCAGGTTCCCAAAAGGTGGAGGACAAAGCAGTCCCCCAGGGGGCCAAACCCTCAGTTGCAGGGACCTCCGGCATCGCGATCCTTATTTGCATTTATTTGCATAGTGTTGCCCCTCCCCTCCTTTCATCCCTGCCTCTCCCTCGCGGGGGGAGCCGGCTGTGGGCTTCAGCAGCGCAGTCCGAGCCATAGCAGGAGTGGCGGCGGGGACTACCGTCGCTCCCCTGTCCCCCTCCTACCACGCTGGAGACCTAGAAGACTGCTAGGGGAGCCCATGGGGATCCTCATTGCTCCCACCCGTCATCGCCCCCAAGTAAACCTCCCAGCGCTGACCTGCCCGCCTTGGTGATGATCATCTCGGTTCCCGCCTCGTGGAACTTCTTCCAGAGCTCCTTCTCATGCAGGCCCACCTTGATGTTCTCGATCGTCTAGGGATGGGAAGGAGGACGACTTACGTTGGCCTGGCCCGCGGCCCCACGTTGGCCTGGCCCGCGGCCCCACGTGGAGGCCTCAGAAAGGAGAATACAGACCCGAGGAACTATGCAGAACCCTGCCGTTGCCTGAAGATTTCATTTCACAAGATTATCCTGTACCATTGATGAATTTTAAAAATTTAATGGCTGAAACCCCTCCTTCGGAACTGTACCTATAGTTGGGCCCTCGGAGACACATAAACTGACCGTGCCAGGGTAGATGACACATTCTCACACAAGCATAAACACTCCACGTGGCCCGACATAGCCACAGGCTTGCAGGCAGACAAACCGACCAGAAGCGGCACACACACCCTGGGCCAGATGCGCGCACCCGCAGACAATGCAGGACCACATGGACCAAGGGAGTCCACAGAAGGATTCTGTCCATTGTGACCATCAGGTTATCCCTGTGATCCACTTGGTGACTTCCCCGCGCTCTGAGCTCCGTGGGGGCTCCCGCTCGCATGGCCTGGTCGGTTCTTTATGCTCCGTCCCAGGATTTAAGCACCCTCCCCTCGCCCCACGCCTCGGGGTCGTCGGAGCTCCCCCGCCTGTCCCAGAGTAGCCCCGAGGGCTCGAAGAGGAGGAGGGAGGAAAGGCAGAGAGAGCGAGCCCTGCCCCGGGGATCTTGAACAAGTAGACAGTCCAGGATGCAGCCAGGGCCCCCAGGAAGCAGGCCTGCTGTCCGCGGGGCGGACTGACAGACACAGGCGGCCCTGCAGACAGACTGATTCCCGACCTGTACCCGACAGCCGAAGCGGCCCTACCTGCTCTGCGGTTGCAGTGGCTGCGACGTCGGCTCCGGAGCCCGGGGAGCTGCCGAGCGCGGCCCCGCTGAGGCCTGGTGCAGCCAGCGCGGGTTCGGGGGGGTTGGTGGCGCTGGCCTCGGCGAGCGCGGGGCCCGGGGCCCGGAAGGCCTCCTCACTCTCCGACAGGCCCTTATCCTGCAGCATCTCCTGTGGGCACACACACCGAGTCACATGCCCAGATCCATCCACATACGCCAGAAGCCCCGCAGCCCTCTGGAGCTGGGGGCCTGGGGGCCTAGCGGGGAGACCGCCCCGGTGCACGTGGACCCCGCCCCCTCCTGAGCTGGGGACCGGAGAATATGTGGAGGATGGACACTCCCCTCCTCCCTCTGGGTTCTGGACCTGGGAGGGTCTGCGTGCGGATTCCGGTCTGCCTGTCCCTGGGTGTGTGGCTGTGTGATGAGCAGGTCTGGGGAAGGACCGCCCTCTCAGCATTGCCCCCGCTGCACCCCCCAATCCCTCCCTCCTGCTGGGCTCCAGTGGAGCTTGAGGTCTTTGGGGGTCTTTTCCCGCTGTTCCCTAATACCTAGGATCCAGGCTCACTCTTGACCTCAGGCAGGAAGGAGAGGAGAGCCAGGCCAGGAGGGCAGAGCTGGGCCTCTGGGACTCCACACCTGCAGAAGGTGCCTAGGGCTGGGCCACCCATCAGACCACTGCCCACCCATCTGCCCTCACCCACTACCTCTGACAGCAGTCAGGTAGAGACTTCGCAAGCCAAAGGCTTTCACTCCTGCACATTCCCACTACATAGACACCCAGTGTGTCACCCACATACGCATACACATCCTCACATACAGACATGGCGCCTTCACACAGCTTCCTAGTCACCAGAACAGCCACACTCTCCTAGGCAGCTCTAATTCAGGCCCTGGACCCCACCAGGGGCCTCCTCAGCCTTGCCCTCACATTCACACTTGCTGGCTCACTCACACTTTAGCTCCAAAGGGTTCTGTTTTGGGGCAAAGGACCCAGACCCTCACCAGCTAAGGACCAGGCTGGTTGGGTGGGTCCAGTTCACAGGTACAGCTTAGTCCTGCCACAGGACACAGTTATCCTTCCCCAAGGGTCTGGGACTATTTCACTGACCTTCCCAAGTGCCTGCTCCCTTCTAGAAGCTGGTCTATCAGCATGAGACCTCAGCCTGCAAAGATCTGCCTGGCCTGCCTGCATCCTGGGTGCAAGCCTGCACCGCCTCTGCTTCTCCTTTCCACCTCCCTGCGTTCTCCCTTCTTCTGGATCTAGGCAAGTTTCGGTGGTGTTCCATATGTCTGGTTCCCTGCTTGTGACAGAACCTTCCCCCTTTTTCCTTTCACCTTTCTGTTCTCACCTGGATCTCCCTGGGCATACCAAAGCCCAGGTCCCTCACCCATCCTTTCCACTGGCCTCCCCATCCTGGAGCCTAGACCTCAGCTCCCAGGGCCTCACAAAGTAAACAAGCCAAGTGCAACCGAGGATATAAAAAGGGGCTGGGGCCAGCTGGGGCTGGGAAAAGCCCATAAAGATAAGGCGGACAGTCCCGCCGGTCCTCGGGGCCACAGGCATCAGGGAACAAGTCTCATCGGGCATGGCCAGCGACAGCAGCCACCTTGGGCCACGTGTAGGTTAAGGGCCAAGCCTAGGAAACCCAAGAGACCCCGGCAAGGGAGAGCAGCTGCGCAATCTGGCCCAAGTTGCTTGTTCCGAATATATATGGGGTCAGCCGGGATGGGTGCCCGTGATGGGCTGGTCTCAGGTGCGGCGGCCTGGAGCCAGGCAACGGCGTCGTGCGGCTCGCCACCCTGCGCTCCCAGTCCTGCGGGGTGCCGAGCACGTCTGCGGCCCGCGTCCACTGACACCGGTCCCGTCGCGCGGGCTCGGAATGTCCAGGGTTGAACTGTGTTCTTCCCCTCCTCGAGGTTTGCCTCGTCCTTTTCTCTCGGCCACCGAGTCACATCCCGACATGGCCACAGCTCTCCGTCGCTGAAGCTCCCCGCTAACTTCCTTTTCTTCCCTCCCGGCTGCCCTCCTCCCCTGGGTCCCCGCAGACGCCGAGCCTTGGCGCCCTGGGCGACCGGCCCCGCCGACCCGCCGGAGTCCGCGGCCTGAGCCCGAGGACCGCGCAGACCCCGCGGACCCCGCAGACCCCTGCGCGCCCGCCGCCGGCCGGCTGCGCGCCCTTTTCGCTCGGGTGCATCGCTTTCAGCCGCCTCGTTTTCTAATAGCATTTTTATTTTCACTCTAGATTACTGCTGAAATTTTTCTCGTCCTGGGGGAACTGTTATTATTTTGTACAGTTTTAAATATTTTAATCATCTCCATTATCAGAGTAGTATTCTACTCTGATCAGTTCGATAACTTTAAAATTATCCCACCACACAAATTACTAGTATTTTCTCCATTTAATACTGTGTGGTTGAAGTACTGGTTTGATTTGCTAATTCATCATTATTAAATACGTTGCTGCTTGATTCTCACTGCTCCATCATTCTAGGGCCTCCTGGCACATTAGTAACAGTACCACTACTATTTAATAGTTACTAGATATAGTGTTCTGATAGTGTATCTGATAGATAGTTGTTTCTGTTTTTACTCCTTACCCCTAAAGTGTTCCGTCACTGCTCCTCAGTTTCTGTACTTTGTCACAGTTTCGGATTTGTTTTGTACCATAACATGTATTATTTTTCTCAATATTCATGCTAATTTTATTCACATCCTTGTAATACTTATTTTACCACTGTTTTGTTAGGATTATTCCTAATACTTAACGTATTCTTCATGACATCGATAGGATATCCCGTTACTTTGTCATTATTTGTAATGTTGCGGACCTTAATTCTCTTAGTTGTTTTTCATCACATCATTACTTCTTGTTACTGCATCATAATTTGTAATATTGCTGTAGCTCTTAATTCTCTGATTATTTTTCATCACATTGGTACAATATTTATTATTACTCTACTATTAATTGATAATGTTGTTGGAACTATTAATGTCCTGGTCATAAATTGTCATATTACTTCTGCAATTCTTGTTACTGTCTATTTATATTACTATCGCTCTTAAGATTTTGCTCAATATTTATTTTAATAACTCACCATAGTATTACTGATAAATTATAGTATCCTGTCAATACTATTCATATTTGTATTTCCTTTAATAGCATTTTTCATTGTTCACCTTTTTTTCTACAGCTTTGTCATTTGTTGTACTATTACTATTTCTTATACTACTATCGCTATTTATTTTAATACCGTGGTTCTTATCACATTGTCCCTATATTTGGAGTCACTTTAAAATATGTGATTACAATTTTCACTTGTTCCTGAAAGTGCCTATTATTTTACCGTTGTTTTAAAGTACCAGAACTATATTAGTTACGCCGCTTGGCCCTGCGTCCTTGGTAATTGCTTACATTCTGATAATTCTTGATCATCGATCATTATTTTTACATGATGCTCATTTGCTTAAATTTTGACAAGCCTGCTTCATCAAAGGCTCTAGAGTTCAGTGTTCTGATTACACGCATTTCTACATCGGTGTTTGCCGCAAGTACCCGGGCCCTCTTCCTTGGCCGTTCTTATTATGCAAACACCAATTTCAAGGCCACCGCTGTGCTTGTCGCGGCTTAACCTTGTTCCTTTGGCGCTGGCGCTGTGGTTTCTATGCCTTTGGGTCTCTAGACACAGTTCGTCGGGTTACTCGGAAGAGAGGAGGGCTGGCTCCCCAAATGCTGGGAGTCAGGCCCAGGCGGCAGCCCGATCTGAGGCATTTCGCGCCGCCCTCCTGCCGCCTTGACTATTCCGAGGTCCTTACCCCAGTCCCGTTATTCGCCCCCCTTCCAGCTCATCTTCCTCGACCCTGCAGTGGGCTCGGGGTGGCCCCTGTCCCGCACGGCCGGCTCAGCCCCATCCCCTCCAGAATCCGAACTCACCCTAACTGCGCCGCCACATGCGGAGGCGCCTGCAGCCCGAGGTCCACTGCAGGCTCGGGTCCGAGGAGCACGGGACAGCCAGGGCTCCGACTCAGGGCCGCTGGGTCAGGGTCCCGCTGCCCGCCGCGCCCTCGGGGCCGGACACATCCCGGCTCTGGATAGGGCCCTTGATCTCCGAGGCTGCACTTGGGGCCTCAGCTCCCTCCTCCTCCTGCCTCCCTGCGGGGCCCCCGCCCCCCCACTCCCCGCTCTGACGTCGCCGCTGTCAATCAGACCGTGCCCGCCGCCCCCCGGGGAGGGGGGCTCAGGGTCCCCGTGCTCCACGGCCCCAGAACCCCGAGCCCCTAGCCGGCCGCCCGAGCCCCCACCACGCAGCCTGGTGTCTCCCGCCGTCCCAGCCGGGCTAGGAGCCCGCATGGTTTAGATTAGAGGGGCGGGAAGAGAGGGAGAGCGGATGGGCCGCGCCGCCCGGGTCCCACCCGAGGCTCGACAGGCAGGACGGCACGCCCGGAACGGCGACACGCCCGCACCCTGGGCGCCCCGCAGCCAGGCCCGGCCGAAGCCGAGGCGCTCTTGCAGACAGTCGTCCTCCACCGAGCCGCAGGCCGCGGGCTCCCCGCCCGCGCACCGCCCCCCCACCCCCGTGTCCTAGGCCCGCTCCCAGCAGAGCACGCACTGAATTCATTAGGCCCACGTCTCTGGGGCGCGGGTGCACACACGCCCCTCAGCCCGCGCTCCGTCTCCCGACCGTGCCCACCGCACAGTCTCACACCTACACTCTCGGGCCCGCGCCCACGCTGCTGTCGGGCTCGGGGCACCGTCGCGACCGCCAGGGCACGGCCTTGTCTGGGAACGGCCCCTCTGCTCGCCGGCCCCTGCTTGTCCGGGCCCAGGGGGCAGCGGGCGCCGACCCGGCCTAGAGCCCTGGGAGTCGGCGGCGGAGGTCACGGGTGAGGGCAGGACTTGAGCTCAGGCAGAGAGGAGGCCGGCCGCCGGGCCTGGAGTGCGGCAGCGGGAGAGTGCTGGGCTGGCCTCTGAATCGGAGCCCAGGCCCAGGCTCCAAGGTGCCAGGGCTTGGCAGAGCCTCCTGGGGAAACTGCTGCGGAGGGCCAGGATTCTGCCAGCAGCTCCCCGAGATCCCAGATTGCTGACGAGGAAGCCCACAGTGCCTGTCCAGTCTAGGAAGGCAAGGCCACTCTGCTTGCTCAGCGCCAGCAGCATCTGTGCCTCACAAAGTGAGGGCCCCTCAGCCTCTTAGACGCCTGCCCAGCCTCTGGCTCTCCACTCCCTCTGTCTTCACTTACCTCTATTCCCCTACATCCATCTGTTTCTTCCCCATAGGACCCTTCAGCTCCACAGACAGAAAAACCCATGTGGACCTCAGCCCACGCCCAAGCCTCAGAGCCTGTCACATGCCCAAAACACTGGGGCAAAGATAGGCCTGCCCACCCATTCCAAAGGCCCCAGATCTCAGTCAGTAGGATTCTCAGATTAGTCCCTGTTTCTCAGCATGGGGTGCATCCTCCCTCCACTGGTTTCCCCAACATTTCAATCAACCTCTGTTCCTTTCCAGATTCTGACCTCAAAATCAGATTTAAGGGAACTGGATGGGGAAATTCCTTCCCTGAAGTGGTCTTTCTCTTTTCTAATGCTAGGAAATAGAAAACCAGTATCAATGCCTCCCCCACCCCCCTGCACTCAAAGGAGGAAGAAAAACACCAACTCAGAAAAGCCAGTTGCTGCTGTAAGGAACCTGTAACCCGGCTTCCCAAAGTGCCCATGACTCAAGATCCCACTACCCCTTCTGCCCTTCACAGCTTGTCTCATGGAGTCCCAAACCGGGAAGGGGAATAAAGGCCTAAGAAGGGTGGAGAAGCTGAATCCTCCCCCAGTCCTGCCTCCTCCTGGACTGGAGCAAGGGAAGGCCCTGGTATGTCAGGAGATGCCTAGGGAGTCATGTTTCCTATATGAAGGAGAATTGGATGACATGCCCCAGCTTCTGCTCCCAAGCCCCCTCCCATGCCCTCTCTGACAGCCTGTAGGGAAATCCCTTGCAAATAAGTAGTGTACAGACTAGCCAACCAATGACGGTGTGGAATTGTGACCAGGGAGGGCAGTGAACCCCCAGGTACCACGGGAAAACTAGAGCTCCAACACACTCTAGAAAGAATTTGTTGACAGTTATTGGAGGAAGTCCATAGTGAGACCATCTATGTCTTTAAAGAGACTAGAGTGGAGACTTTCTATAAGTGCAAGGCTTTCTGGAGACTCATAGGAGATGGTCCAAGACAGTATCAACTAGTTCATGATGACATGGAGAAATGAGATACAGAAGGGGTGGGCAAGGCTTGGCAATGAAAAGGAAAGGGCAAAGCAGCCAACCAGCGAGATAGGGAGGCCATATGTACTCGTTCTCCATTACTAGACTGGAATACCTTATCTCATTGATACAAAAATGTACACTTTTCACATTTTGACATCTCTGAAACTGGGATGGGCTTTAAGAGCAATGGTGTGCTGTAGTTCATTAGCATTACATACAATAATAGAGTAGCTTACAATTAATGAAGTGTAGTGTTTGCTGATAAATGACCAGTGGAGAAAGATAAAGACCAATTTTTTGCCCCAAAATTGATTTGAGTCTTAGGCACAAAAACTCTCCTCAGCTAGCTAAGTAGCAAGCTAACTATAACCAGGCATCTATCATACCAACTTGGTTTGGCTTAGGGGAAAGCTCTCAAGTTTGACGTCAGACTGACTTTGGTTTTGCAAACTGGCCCTAAATCCTGACTCAGCGGTTAGCAGCTGTGTGACCTTGAGCAAGTCCCTTAACACCTACATATAATGGGGGTAATCACACCAACCTACTAGTTATTGTGAGATTCAGCCAAGTTAATGCATGTAAATACCTGCTATGTGTAGGTAGTTAGTAAGAGACCCCAAATATTTAAAAAATGTATCTTATTCCACTTCTCGAAAAAAGGCTTAAGGTTATTTATGACCAAAATAAGCTAATAAAAATAGTAGGAAAACAAAACAGGATTAAGGAAAAAGGAGAAAGAAGATATGTTATCACTAGGTGTTGACTATGTTGCTATAACTGAGAGCAAAATCTTACTTAGCAGCATCAGGGTAAAATGGTGTTCTCCATGTCAGAAAAGTAGAAACAGTATTTATTTGCTGAAGGTAGGGAAATAAACTTTGTCCTGGTCCTAAATTTTAAAGTAATTTCTCATGTTAAATTTTATCCTTATATCTGTACATTGTCTTACCATTTATAAAATAGCACATTTTATGTTGTAATAATGCCATCTTATCTCCATTTTATGGATTCAAGTAAATATCAAGTGCTTACTAAGTGCCAGACACATCAATAAGAGGGCAGGACAATTAACCATTTTATTAGCTAGCCAACTGATTGGCTAGCCACGTACTACAAATTCACTAGTGAATGTTCTGCACACTTACTAAATAATCAGCTAAAGAAGCAACCCCAAAAGTAGCAAGAACAGCAGGATGATAAACTGGAGCATCCCAGTCAGTACAGTAGGGTGGTTGTTACAGAGCCTAGAGTGGGTGTGGTTGAAGATGACCACTTGAATGGGCACCATAGTTTGGTGAAAAGCAATTATAAATTTTTTTTTAACCAAGCTTTTTAGAGCATTTAACAAATACCAGGCCTTACTGCCCTATGCTAATCATGGAGATTCTACTCCCTGCTCTCCTACTCTCCCTTGTAGCTGGGAATGGTTGTGTGACCCAGTGTTGGCTGATGAGGCCTAAGCAGAAGACTAGAGGGGAGGAGGTTTGGTGGGAGATCTTTCTTTCTTGATAAAGGGAAAGACAAGAGTTTTATTTTCACTTGTGGATAACATCCTTGGAGTTCTCACTCTCTAAATATCTTGAGGCAATAAGGATGAAAGCAGTATGCTACGGACAGCTGAGTAAAATGAAAGAGCTTGAGTTTCTAAAGGCATGACTGAGCAGGTAAACCGGTGCCAGCTTGCTTCTAGTAACATGAGAAAAATAAACCCTACCTCATCATTGTTAGTCTGGGTCTCTGTTACTTACAGCCAAATACACTTCTGAGACATATGTAAATGTCCCAGCTCAGTGTTGAGCACATCCTTAGATACTCCATAATGAAAGATACATATCTGAGTGCCTGTATGTGTCCTTGTGCATGTGCACAAAACTTTCTATTCAGATCCAAGAAACAAAGTCCCTCCATACTCCCTTACCAGCCATGTTACACTGTGTGTGCTATGATCTAAGTCCTGGTGTACGTTTTAAGCCACCCAAAAAGGGAAAGGATAAGTGAGGCAGCAGGGAATTCTCCTGTTCCCTATGGCTTTACAATTACCCAGCAGCCCCAAATCTTGGTTCCAGATTCTCCAGCTCACTCCCCATTGGGGTTATCAAGCTCAGGATGACTGGGGTGGGGACAGGAGCTTGACCTGATTCTGGACACTGGAGGATTGAGCAAGGGGAATGGGGAGTAGGTAGCAGCTATGGCAGGTGCTTCCTCTCCTACCACAGGTGCAGGTCTGATCACCTGACCTCACCCTGGCCTCCAAGGCCTTCTCCCACAAGGAGAATTAGGAAACTTACAGTTATAAGAATTTAGGACTGGGCTGATCCCTGTCCTGGGTGAGGTAGATTGGTCTGAGCCCCTCAGGACTGAGAGCAGAGGTGGTGATTCATCAACAGCCTGGGTGACTCCCTCCTATAACTCTTACATGACGCGCTACAGAGATAAGGAATGAATGATCAAGGCTGGGTTTTGCATAGTCAAGGGTAGCAATCTAGACCTTCTGTTCCAGAACCCGTATGTGTAGGCAGTTTCTCTGCAAATTAGACTTTGTCCTGGTGTGATCCTCAAAGGCCACTTCTTTTCCATTTCCTCCAGTAAGATTTCCCTAAACATACACACTTACTTTACTATTTTTCTGAGGAAGGTATATCTGCTAGGGTCATGTTAGGTTAAAAAAGAATTCCTAAGTCAGAGAAAGCACTTAATTATCTAACCCCCGTTTTCTTTCCTTCTCTTTTTCCTCTCTGCTCTTCCTAAGCATGGATTATCCAAATTGGCTTTTAATTTGGATCCTAAAGGTTTTTTTTGAACGAGGCTGAAACAAATTAGAGTTTAAGAATGAGAGAGTATGTGGGCTACCAGAAGTCCTTGAAATTTGAAGTTTAAAAACGTGAATT